AATTTTCCCATTCCAGTCTTGGTTATTACAAGTAGGGACATATTTCCTTAGAAATCTGTTGTGCCATTTTCCATCTACACCAAAGGCCTGTTCATTTCTGGCGCTTTTCTGGGTGAGGATGTGAGGCAGAATTCAAAAAGGAGAGGAGACATGCGAAGTTTTGATGGAGGCAAACTTTATTAAGGCAAAAGAATGATGAGGGAAGAGGAAGAAGTTGAAAAGGGCTGGTCTGATGTGCAATTCTGGCTACCATCAGCCCAAGTGCTTTGCTTGCAGGAGCTGCTGCCAGAGGAACGAGCTGGTGTTGTCAGGAGTGGTGCCGAGGGCCCTTAGCAGATGTAGCCACCCCTTCTGCCATAGCAGCCCAGGCCTCCCAGCCCATAGCCAAGGCCAAAGCCAAAGCCACCAGAGATGGGCTGTCCCTGGGCATTGAGTTCACTGCCAACGGCAGCTGAGGAGGTGGATCCGACGGCGGTGTTCTGGGGGAAGGAGGTCATGATGGGTCCTGGCATGGTGACCAGCACAGGGGAAGGGTTGATGATGACGCTGGAGTTCTGGCATTGCAGGGCACAGGGCTCGTTGCAGCTGTTGGCCAGCGGGGTGGGTCCACAGAGGTTGTTGCAGGCCATGGTTGTGGTGTGGAGGGTCCCTGGAAGAGAGTGAGGCAGGGCAGGGTTCATGGGTGTCTGAGGGGTGATGTTACAGGAGGTTGAGGGAGTGTGGAGGCTGTTGTGGGGCTGTGTGGATGTGTGAGGGCTGCTGAGGCTGGGGCTGAGGGTGCTGGCAGAGAGGGCCCAGGGGTTCAGGAGCAGGAGGGTCAGGGGTTTGAGGGCTTGAGGCTTACCTTGTTGTCAGCAGAAGCAGAAGGAGAAGGTGGTGAGGAGAAGTGTGTGAGGGACAGAGGCACTGGGCTGGCTTTTATGCTGCTTCTGGAGGGGCGGGACAGCCTTGTCCCGTGGCCTTGGGGCATGTGGGAGCCTGCTGTTCTTGGCTGGCCCAGCCTGGTGAGTTATGAGGTGGGGAGTGTTTTTCTTCTCACAGCTCTGCAGTGTCATGTCCTACTTTT